TGATTGATTTTGATTGATTGATTATAATTAGTTCATCATGACTAATTTATTAGAACTGATTGATTAAGACTGATTGTTTAAGACTATGACTGATTGATTGTGACTGATTGATTATAATTAGTTCATCATGACTAATTTATTATAACTGATTGATTAAGACTGATTGATTGTGACTGATTGATTGTGACTGATTGATTTTGATGGATTGATTATAATTAGTTCATCATGACTAATTTATTAGAACTGATTGATTAAGACTGATTGTTTAAGACTATGACTGATTGATTGTGACTGATTGATTTTGAAGGATTGATTATAATTAGTTCATCATGACAAATTTATTATAACTGATTGATTAAGACTAATTGATTGTGACTTGATTGATTATGACTGATTGATTTTGATGGATTAATTATAATTAGTTCATCATGACTAAGTTATTATAACTGATTGATTAAGACTGATTGATTATGACTGATTGATTGTGATTGATTGATTTTGATGGATTGATTATAATTAGTTCATCATGACTAATTTATTATAACTGATTGATTTTGACTGATTGATTGTGACTGATTGATTGTGATTGATTGATTTTGATGGATTGATCATAATGAGTTCATCATGACTAATTTATTAGAACTGATTGATTGTGACTGATTGATTGTGACTGAATGATTATGACTATTTTTTTTTAACTGATTAATTTTGAGTAATGGATTATGACTGATTGATCATGACTGATTGATGTTGATTGATTGATTTCGACTGATAGTAATAATGACAATCAATATGAAGAAATTTCTTACCTGCGACAACTCCACTTATAACTAAGGGGATTGTTGGTTTCTTCTTCGTAGCAAACTTGCAAATGAGGAACGTCAATATCATTTCCGCCACCAGGAGGAATGCAATTATAGCCATTGCACAGACTGCATACAGCTCACCTGGAGTTTAAACAGATGTTAATTAGTGGAGTCTTTATTTTTAGACTGATTTAGCGTATACACATATAACAAGATACAAAAGGTCACTATTGAAATCAGATGCTGCTTTGCAGGAGAGAAACGAAAAGAAGGGATGAGATTGGTAGGTCACGTTCCGAAGCAGCTTCGTATGTGACCGATTGCCTAAAAGTTCTGAAGCAGAGGCTTCTCGATGACGTGTTTAGAATTTCCTACATTCTCATTGTCACGGTCATTTTTGAGAAATTTTTCAAGCAGCATTCAATTGAATATTGTAATTGTTGAACTCCTTCATACTACGCCCACCCTCCCTTGTATTAAATAATAATCCCAGTTTTTCTTTTCATCAGTTTCTTCTTGCAGGACTGGCAGGCTCCACTGGTATGTCTTTAAATCAGGTCGAACTCCACGCGTTGTTCGTATAAATCTCACGTCGTTTGGTTCTAGGTATGGAAAAAAATCTACATCAAACTGCACCAAAGTTTTGTTTAATTTTTAAACTCTAAGCGCACGGTTTCCGCTGCTAGAACATCACATGATTGGAATTTTTCCATGGCCTTCAAAGCAGAATGCATGTCAGGGTGAAGACCACGAACAAAATCATCCTTAGCTAGAATTACGCGGCCAGTTTAATCAATTCCATTATTTTGTATGAGTATGTAAGAGCAGACTCACCTTGTAGACGATTTCTATTAGACAGTTCAAAGATTGCTTCTTCACAATTTAATTGGCCTTTCTCAAATTCTTTGAGAAGCTCCCCCTTTATTTGATCGAAATCTTTTCGTTCTTCTGCAGATAAACGAAGGTAAACATCGAAGGCAGGCCCCTCTAATCTGCTTGCCAAATTCTGAGCTTTTTTCTCTCCTGTAAATCCTTTCAGGGATGAATGTAGCTCCACCTTTGTCACAAATTCCGTTCCCTTGGCCGTTGAAGCTTTTTATTTTGTTTTCCATTTTGAATATGGCTGAGAGTTATTTTGAAATAGAAATGTAGCCAGAGTCGAAACTCAATAAGAGAATACATCTAGTGGTTACTTGTATGAGATCTATCACAGAATAACCAAAACACAACAAAACAGAATTATATACAAGGGCGGATATTACGTAACGTTCTTAAAGGTGAATTGACATGCAAAACTATTTTTTGATATAATGTAGAAAACAATGCATGGAATCTTAATTTCAGGTTTTCGGTTAATTATTATTGTCCGTTTTGACGCAATTCCGCTCTAAATGTCATGAAATTATCGTTGAGTGTTCGACCATTGTCGGCATTTCATGTGACCCAGTGCGTGTGACGTCACAAACACCATGTTTTTATTCCTTGAATGGAAATCACGCACGGACTGGACAGTTCAGTTCATCTTGTTCAGTTACTATTCGAGGAGGTCTACGTAGCCTTCGATCCAAGGTACATGAAAATTCGAGGCTA